TTCCATCTGGGCTAGGGGAACCATGGTGGCTAAGTGGGTAAGACGCTGGGTCACTAGCCTAGAGGTTGCTTGTTCAGTCCCTGCATTGGCTGAGAAAGTTCATCAGCATTTTCCAAAGTGGTTTCCCCTTGTCAGTGATGCAGGACGGAGGGCCTGACAAGGACAGCTGTCTAGTCGTTCGGAAGGGATGAAAAACCGAGGTCCTGTGTATACAATGGCATGCACGTAAAAGCTCCCTTGGCAGTTGGAATTCAATATAAGAGTAGGCCACTGAATAATAATTAATTTTTGAACAGTGGTCAGGAAATTAGATACCGGTACTTGTAAATTGGGCACTCATTATCAAAATTAATCAGTCGGCTTTAAACTGGACACAAGTACAAATTAGATGATTTGGAGTGATTCTAAATGATTTTTACGAAAATTTAAACAAAGATTTAATATTAAACGAACCTGAAAGAAATTAGTGCTAGATACACGAGATTAAATGCTACCCGGGTTACCGTGTAAGCGATGAAGCGAATATTTACTGCTGATCTGTTAGGAAACGATTCTACAGACGACATTTATAAATAGGGCCTACGTGTACCGATGCACTGTTCATTCCATTATGTGCCAAATGTTCTAATTAGCGTTGTATAAAACACACATGGCAATATGTGTTGGGTACATGTACATTGTACTTGTATGTTCAAATGATTTTTCTACGTCTATTTCAGCTCTTTATTTGTCTTTATTAATCAAAGAAGAATTCTATTTAAATAGCCAAAAGGGAATATTTCATTAAGAATAATTATTATAAGTCCTATATGAATATGAAACGAATTTGTGATTAAAGTTTCCATGCATTATCAAAAGTGACCGAAAGTGTAGATTTTGAAGTGGAATTTTTAAGACCTGCCGTTAACTATGACAAATTTAATATAGAGGGGGGGGGGGTAGTGTTAGAGTTATTATTTCCCAAAATACTCATTCATATTAAACAGCCAATTATTTGGACTCCGGAAATACCCAAACCGCCCCAACCGGCCTACAATTGGCATCTCCGTATTGTAACTCGGCTGCCTTTTTCTGGACAAAACAACTTCTCTTTGATAACTTTTAAGAGTACATGTATGTATCATTCATGTATTGTGGAAGTTTAATCACGAAAATAAATATCAGTCCTAAAATGTTTCCAATTCATTATTTACAAAGATGTGATGAATTGAAACACTTTCGGTATCGTACATGTACATACACATGTATCTTCTGCAGATGACAAGTCAGTGGGCCAGTGTCGCCACTTATAAGTTATCATATGGTCCCCTAAGGGCTGGGGCAATTACATTGCCAATGTAATTAACCATTACCATTACTTTTTAAATAGAATCATTACAATTACATTCTTGCTTTTAGCAATGTAATTAATTACTATTTTCTATTTCTGCCATGAAGCACCTACAAAATCAAACTCAAAAGTCCTTTGCTTATTTTGATAGATATTTGCATATAAATTATTTATTTCTAGAAATTATAGCATCAAGGCAAATTTTCCAGTGATTTATTAAATTTTTAATCAGTCCAAATTGTTTGTCTATAAATATATTGTGAAGTCGTAAATTATTCAGCGTGACTCTAAAACCAAATATATATATTTGTTTTATATTAGGTAACCATAAACTGAAGGCCATTGTTTGATTTGTCACGCTTCACCTTGAGATTAGGATTAAAGTGTAAGACTATTGGGTTTTTTTTAATCTAACTGATTGATTGATTGACTGACTGATTGATTGATTGATTCTGACTGATTGATTGATTGATTGATCACAATATACATATTTTCAGAAATCCACTTTTAGGTTACATGTCTAAAAAAAGGGGACTTACATAAGATAATAAAAGAAAATGTTTTACACTTTCTTATAATTTGTTGAAACAGATCTTGATATACATGTAAATCTTTTTTTTAAAACTATAATGAATTGGACTGTGTCAGATAACCTTAATTTACTTAATCTTTGAGAGTCATTTAATAACAGGATAGAGCAATAAACTATAACACATACATGTACTTATGGAAAAAACAGCTACTTATTTATTTGGGCGATGTTTCAAAGAGTATTCTCTGAAGTCGGAAGTTATCTAGGAATTACGATTACCGTGGGGATAGAAAGGGGCTTAGTGAGTAAGTCTTCGGCTGGCTAACATGGGGGTCCAGCAGGCCCTCCGTGAAAAAATTGTTGACCATAAAAACAATAGATATACATTGTCTGTCAATTTTACAGCACCCCTGCCCCCCTCGTTGCTCTGAAATGAAATTAAATGAAATGGGGTTTAACGTCCTACTGTTCTGCTCCTATACTGGGCTTATGAAGACGGGCATACAGTGTGCTATTAGTGAAATTTTGCCCGGGCAGCGGCACTATCGCCTACTCTTATATCGAATTCCAACTGCCAAGGGATCTTTTACGTGCATTCCAATGCATACACGGGACTTCGGTTTTTCGTATAATCCGAAGGACTAGACAGCTGTCCTTGTCAGGCCCTCCGTCCTGCATCGTTGCTCTGAGCTAGTTACGGTTCAATCCTGGTGTTGGCAGAGAAAATGGTTTCCCTTTGTCAATAGTGCGGGGGGTTGGATGGCCGAATGGTTAGCATGCGCGCGCTGTATCATACGGTCTGTCATTGAGTCAACTGGCAGGGTTTCGATTCCCTGGTTGTACGTGACAAGGAGTAGGTTCGCCTGTCAAACCTCGCAGGTTTTCCCCGGGTCCTCCGGTTTCCTCCCACTGCTAAAGACCCATACGCGCAAGCGAATTATTGAAATTAAAAAAATTAAACCATATGTTAGTCCCAAAATGACCTAGTTTTTCGAGTGGACGTTAAACCCCATTTCTCTCTCTCTCTCTTTCTCTCTCTTGTCAATAGTGCAGGACAGGAAGATGGTACGGAAAATCGGGTAGTCGTTTGAGACGAAAATTGAGGTCTCAGGTACATATTGGCATTCACCTAAAAGAACCCTTGACAAGTAGTTGTAGTATCAAAGTCCTGGCAAAGTTTCCCTCACTGCACGCTTTATGGCATATGCCCGACCTCATCAGCCCAGTCTGTAAAGAATTGGTTTACGCTTATTTCTGTTTAGAAGACAGAATGACAGTGCTCGATTGTTTATTCCTGTTTTGATTTCGAAATAACCGTCAAATGTTAGTCATTAATGAAAAAGCCAAACACAGTAGTAACTGATCTATAACAATTACAGCCTAACATGTATTTCACCTAAAATAAACGATCATAGGCATGTTTTGATTAAAATACTGAGTCACACTGTGTTTTCAACACCGAGGCAGTGCTATCGTGTCACTCGATATTCATTCGATATTCACTGGGTAAACCATGGAATTCCACGATAGAAAACACAGTAATATCGTGTCCCGTCAAACCATCACGATGAACGTACTGTAGGATGTTTAATCACGGAATTCCATGATAAAAAAATCGGTAATATCGTGACGCGTCAAACCATCGCGATGAACGTAGTGTAGGATGTGTAATCACGGAATTCCACGATAGAAAACACGGTAATATTGTGACCCATCAAACCACCGCGATGAACGTACTGTAGGATGTGTAATCAAGGAATTCCACGATAGAAAACACGGTAATATCGTGTCCCATCAAACCATCGCGATGACCGTACTGTAGGATGTGTAATCACGGAATTCCACGATAGAAAACATGGTAATATCGTGTCCCGTAAAACCATCGCGATGAACGTACTGTAGGATGTTTAGTCCCCATCATTCTACTATAGAAAACACAGTAATATCGTGACCCATCAAACCATCGCGATGAATGTACTGTTTAATCCCCATTTTGTTTCATTTATGGTTCTCATAAAAAATAAATCAGAGATTTTCTGCTATATTTGGAAACATAATAAAACTTCAATCTTTTGTTTTTAAATTTATTTTTGGTTTAATTTTTATTTTAAGTGTGTGAGCTTGAGAATATAATTTCTATCATCGTTTTTATCTAGAAGAAATATAAAATCGAAGTATTCAGGTTTTAATTATCAAATCGTATTCACAGGGGATAATCAAAGAAGGTAGTTAACTTTTAGACTATGAATTATTGAATAGTAGCTTGCGCTGTAACTTGAACAAGTGTGAAATATATCGATGTACTATTATTTGGTTTCTCATTTTGAGAGGCGACTTGAACCTGTACAGATAGTGTCAGATCCTTGTTGGTTGATTTCTAGGAATTACCGGTAACCAAGAAGGTTGGGCACTTAATGTGGATGGTCTGTTGAGCTACTGTTAGGTCTTTGAAATTACTGTTAGTTGGAAAGAAAAGTCTGTGGATCTACATGTATATCGGTGTACTGTTATTATTCGGTTCCTCATTTTGAGAGGCAACTCAAACCTGTACAAATAGTGTCAGATCCTTGTTGGTCGATTTCTGGAATTACCGGTAACCAAGAAGGTTGGGCACTTAATGTGGATGGTCTGTTGAAATTACTCTTAGTTGGAAAGGAAGGTTTGTGGTACTACTGTTAAAAGGTCCTGGCCGGTGTCATTAGAAAGTTTGTGGAACTACTGTTAAAAGGTCCTTGTGTCATTAGAAAGTCTGTGGAACTACTGTTACAAGGTCCTAGTGTCTTTAGAAAGTCTGTGGAAATACTATTAGTTGGAAGGTCTGTGGAACTACTGTACTGTTACAAGGTCCTAGTGTTGTTAGAAAGTCTGTGGAATTACATGTACTATTAGTTGCAACGTCCGAGGAATTGCTGTTAATACTGAACAGTCTGAAATGTTGACAGTAGAACCCAAGAATAACTGTGGAACTACTATTAATAGGCCTACTGAAATACCCCCAGAACAAAACAAAGAATGTGGGACTATTGTTAATATTGAAATACCCCCAGTAGAACCAGAGAATGACCATGATGAAGTTAAGATCGTTGGACTGTATCTGATATTATGTAGACTGATATATGTATTCTATATCTCTATCAGATCACTCACACAAGAAGATTTACAGGATGTTTATAAGATTGATGATGCTCAGTGTAGAAAACTCATATTAAAAGCTGTTGAAAAAGCCAAGGAAGAGGAAGAAAGTGACGTTGAGGTAAGAAAAAATAATTTTATATAGCATTATAGTGAGTTATAATGTATAAAACAAACATACACATACAAGTACGACAATGCCGAATTTCAGGAGTAAATATTAGCAAAAAAACCCAACCCAGAAAAGTTATATGGCTTCATCTTTGTTAGCAGTGCCAAAAAAAGTTAGATTAAAGACAATAAAAGGAGCAAAACCTGAGAGGTTTATATGTAGATGTACCGTAGATTGTACATGTACCCAGGTAAAACCATTATAAATATGTACATGTACATATATGAGATTATACAGTTATACACCCAGAAAAAACTATGGGGGTAGATTATAAACCCAGGTTAAATCATGGTGTGTAGACTATACACCCAGCTGGGATGTAGATTATACACCCAGCTGGGATGTAGATTATACACCCAGTTGGGATGTAGATTATACACCCGGCTGGGATATAGATTATGCACCTGGCTGGGATGTAGATTATGCACCTGGCTTGGATTTAGATTATGCACCCAGCTGGGATGTAGATTATACACCTGGCTTGGATGTAGATTATACACCTATCTGGGATGTAGGTTATACACCCATCTGGGATGTAGGTTATACACCCACTGGGATGTAGATTATACACCCAGCTGGGATGTAGATTATACATCCAGCTTGGATGTAAATTATACACATTGCCGGAATGTAGATTATACACCAGACTGGGGTGTAGATTATACACCCAGCTGGGATGTAGATTATACACCCAGCTTGGATGTAGATTATACACCCAGCTGGGATGTAGATTATACATCCAGCTGGTATGTAGATTAAACACCCAGCTGGGATGTAGATTATACACATTGCTGGAATACACTATACACATTTCTTGAATGTAGATTATACACCAGACTGGGGTGTAGATTATACACCCAGCTGGGATTTACATGTAGATTATACACCCAGCTGGGATTTAGATTATACACCTGGCTTGGATGTAGATTATACAACTGGCTGGAATGTAGATTATATGCCCGACTCGGATATAGATTATACACCCAGTTGGGATGTAGATTATACATCCAGATGAAACTATCAGATGTAGATTATACACCCAGTTAAAACCGTGGGAGTAGATTATACACCCAGTTAAAACCATGGGGGTAGATTATACACCCAGGTAAAACTGGGGTAGATTATAAACTCAGATCCAGTTAAAACCGTGGGGGTACATGTATATTATACACCCAGATAATGTAATAGATCTGTGACAGTAAATGGACTTTGCCATTTGTTCAAATTAATTATATTAAACCAAAACCATGTCCATGAATAATTATGTTAAACCAAGCCCTGATTGTTAGGTCATTATAGTCTGGTGATTCACATCCTATCTAAGGCCACACAAAATAAATGTCTTGTTTCTCGGGCAACTGACAGCTGAAACTGTAGGGAGGGAGGGCGGTTTCTTTTTTTTTTTTACTCATTGATGGTGCAAAATAAAATTTGGCTATTGCTGAAAATTGTTGGGGCGGGAGGGCGGTCTTTCTTTTTTTTTTTTTTTAAATGAGAAAGTCATGACTTGTTTACGTTTTTGCTTTCCGTTATATTCAACTTTATTGTACATACTTAAAACATAAACCCAAAATCAAGTCTACTAAAACACTGAGACTGAACACTGACTGAAAGGAAAATAATTTTCCATATTTAATTCACATAATTGAATTTGGTTTAAAATAAAATTCCATACGACTATGTAATAGCCCTCCATAAAGACAACAATATTTTTAAAAACTAAGCCTCTTTCACCAGGTGTATCAAAAATAATAATCATGGTAAACAGTATTTAAAACTAAATCTAGTATCGCCGGTTTATTTATAATTATTTACCGAATTCCAACCAATGCATGTCACACCGTGTCATCGGTATTGGAGATTGCCGGAAATACTGTTTCTTGGGATATTCGGTGTGTTTCTCAGGATATTCGGTGTTCTATCCGGTGTTTATATTGAATGACTATTTAAATCTAACTAACAACTGGTCAGTAAAACCATCAAATCGGTAATCCAATTATTATTTTCCGGATTATCGAAACTACCGTAAATGTGCTAATAATGACCCAGATTCTAAGGTATGCATTATGACGACTATCGTCATCGTATCGTATTCTTAGCTATAATTAATTAACCTGTTCTACGGTTCATTATTTTATCAATAGGATTTTCCAAACAAGGACCGACTGAAGCCGGCAATAATGAGCCGATTACGATCGAATGATTGAAATATTGTCGCCAATGACTTTTAACACGAATCAAATTCTAGTTTATCAGGGGAGGTAATTAATATCACGTGATACAAAATGGAGGTTCTTTCGATATCAATAAAAAAGGCAAATCTGCCAAACTTCGCCATTGTTCGGATAAAAAAGACAGCATGTTCATCTGAATCAGTTTTAATACATTTGAATAGATATACATGTATGGCGGATGTAGGTACATGCGGGATATTTTTTTTACGACTTGCTTGTCGATGTGCGGGCGGGCGTTACATATTTATTTATTTTCATCAAGACTAATAAATAGACTGCACGCGCAACCAATTTTGCGTGCGGGCGGTGCCCGAGAAACAAGTTATTTTATTTGTGTTGCCTAAAGTTGCAGGTCAAATGTTGAAACGCTTACTCATAATTGAGCTGAAAAACTCTGATTTCCTGACACTTGTTTTACCAGAACCTTTGAAGTACCGATAGTCTTATCAAGAAAACCCAGCAGGACTGAGTGCCAGGTGTTATTCAAGAAAGGAGAAACAGTTCTTGTGGCTTCAAACTGATAGATACATGTACATGTACCAACACATGTAATATTGACAAGAATTGTGTAGTTATCTCCCTTGAATAGCAGTTTCTAAGCTGTAAACATTTTATTTGAATTGTTTCAATGGCATTTAGTAATTGAACTGGAATATACAGGTCACAATTCTATAGAATACAATTACTGCTTATTACTGTGCCACGTTTTGACTAGGCTTCTCTAGTCATTCACACCTGTAGATTTCAGATACATGTAAATCCATGGATCTGTCTCATGGACGTCGTTATATCTCATTCAATTTGTGTATGAAATGTGTATGCAGGATTGTTTTCCTTTATTTAAAGGGACACAAACACTCTTGCTGGCTTGACAGCTCCAGAAAATAAAAAAATAGCCTTATTCTAAGTACTAGATGTGTTAGTGTCCTACCTGTTGTGTAAATTATCCATTAAATCCTATTTTACTTGTCCAGAGGGTTCAAAAATATTTTTAAATCCAAGTAACATTTGAAAAGCTTTACGTCAGGCTTTTCAAATCATTTAGTTGATTTTTTCCAATTTTTTTAAATTAGGTGTGTTAAGATGAAATTTGTATCATCAATTAATTGGAATATTGTAAAATAGTACAATTTGTTGACCAGAATAAAGATTGGGACATATTATTCAGTTACAACAAGAGTGGTATTGAGCCTTTAAAAACTTGATGTCATATAACCAAAGTTGGACACTTTTATCGATTGCGTTCCCAGATGAAATACCGCTGGCATGATATTTCATTAATTTAACGCATCAGAATTCACCACAATACACTGTGGGGTAATCATAATATATGGCCTTGACACTTGTATTTTGTTATGAATTACAGATTTGTTGTATAATCCACTTATATTGCACTGAAAAACTCTCTTATGACATACATTCTATCATCATGTTACAAAACGACTCACAATACACTGGAAAACTTGTGTCATGAAACATGTCAGCGGAATATTTAAACATACATTATGCAAGAGCTAAATCTGCCTATTGCAGGTCTTTCTTTAGGCCTGAAATGTAATCTAAATTATTAATTAGACATTAATTAACTGATCCAGGCCTTAATCAACTCTCGATGGCATCAGATTTCTCCGATATTAAATAGATTAGAATGGTTCAGCGATACTTTGATTTAATCAAATATGGAGGACCGAGACTTAGGCTGGCCTTAAAAATATCTTTGTTTCACCAAACCCGACCCACAATCGAGGAGAAGGGTCGGTAGGTCGGGTTTTTTTTTCAGATTTTTTTTTTAAAGTCAGAGAAATCAATACTACAGATTCATTAATTTTTGTTTAATGAATTTTGGGTCCGACGTAAAAAGTAACGAACTTAAAGTTTTTATTAAACTTAAGAGCTAATTTGACAGCTTGATAATTTTCCGGGTGGAAACATTCGTCTTCTTTATTGGCAATCAAATCAATGACATCAGGATTTTTCGTGATGCTCGACTCGCACACGATTTGCTACTAACTTGAAGTGTGAAACTCCTTCAACACGTTTTTAACGATCGTGCGGGTTGTGCCTTCATTTTTCTCGAAAACGGATATTAAAAATATCGTCGTCATGTTTAAAACGATGCCCCACAGACATAGAGGCAGAATCATTTCGTGGGAATGGACGTGCTTTCGTCTGCAACCATTTTGTTGAGAAGCGACACCTATGACGCTTTCGTCTTGATCAACCAGTTTCAATAATGAATCAAACAATAGCCATAGTAAAGGGAAATAACTCTCGTGATATATTTCAGGTTGACACACAAAATAAAATAAAAAGATCGTGGAAAAGTGCAATAAAATAATTTAAGTCGGAGATGGTTTTAGTTAGTCGGTCGCGTTAGGCGAAACAAAGATATTTTTAAGGTCAGCCTTAGCTTCGATCAACCAGTACGGTGGTTGAAATTATTGCACACGTCTGTCAAACCTTCAATGGCTAATATCTTGGCTTGCAATAGAGTAATTTGAATGAAATTTTCAAATTATTCATTTTACATCATCTACTTTCAAACTATTATAGCAAGAATGGCTAGTTCTTTATCTAAATCTTACATAATGTATCTTTAAGTTTGACTTATATTAACATCCAAACAATAAATTCAGTTTTGTCTTTGTGATCCAAATATTTCTAGTAATTCGAATTGTGTCAGGATCTGTTTCTGAATATGTATAGCCATTCGAA